GATGACGGTGATGATGATAGTGATGATGAGGAGGAGGAATGGGAGGTAAAAGGAACGAGGATACTCAGAAGAGGGCGGAAGAGGAGGAGTTGGAGGACCAGTGTAAACCCGAAACTCATCAACGATGTTGGAATACATCATCCCTCCAAGCTCCCTCTTCATAGGCCCCATACAACGGTTCATTTCCATCGAGGGAACTGCTTCGTTGAAAGATAACCGTTTGAGGAGCCTGAAACGTGCCACAACATTATTCCTGGAACTCCAACGCCACGGGTCAACCTGATTATTGCGTCTTGACAATCCTGAATCGTGCCAGAAAGCTACTCCTGGGACTTCAACACAGCGAATCAAAGTAACTGCTGCGCCCTCAAGCTCCGAAATCTCTCCAAAACACCTTTTCTGGTACGTTGGCCATGGGAATCCGCGAATCTCTTGCAAGTGTCAAGAAGGAATGTGCGTGGCGCTACGGCGAGAACCACATTTTGAAAAGAATCCGCCCTCAAACCGTGAAATCTTGGAATGTTTAGAACGAATGTGCGCGGCGCTCAAGCGAAAACCACATTTTGAAAAACCACACGCCCCCAATCCGGGAAACTATTGCACTTTTTTATATAAAAAACGAATGTGCGCGGCGCTACGGCGAGAGCCCCATTTTGAAAACGACCTGCCCTCAATATGTGAAGCTCTTAAAGTGTTTGGAAAGGAAATGTTCGCGGCGCTCAAGCGAGAGCCACATTTTTAAAAGGGCCCGCCCTCAATGCGTGAAACTCTTGCTCATGTTGATAATGGGTGTGCGCGGCGCTCAGGCGAGAGCCACATATTGACAAGGAGCCGCCCTCAATCCGTGAAGCTCTTGCTTTCTTTTAAACGAATGTGCGCGGCGCGAAGGCGAGAGCCACATTTTGAAAACAACCCGTCCTCCATCTGTGATATGGGGTCATAAATTTTGAGGCGCTCTCAGGCGAAAGGCTAGGCACGCCCTTTCGACCGGCCTCGGGGTGCGACAGGGAAAACATCTTTTTAACACCAGAGAAGATCCCAATCAGTGGACGGTTTGAAAATTTGCGCTGTGGATCTTGAGATTGATAGTGAGATCGATAGTGGAATCGAGAGTGAGGACGATTGTGTAGTCGATCGTGAGACCGGTAGTGAAGTCGATTCAATGAGATCGATAATGAGATCAATTGTGAGATCGCTCGTGCGATCTATAGTGAGATCGAAAGTGAGATCGATTGTGATATTTCTTAGTGAGATCGATAGAGAAGTGGGTAATGAGATCGATGGTGAAACCGATCGATAACAAGATCGACCGAGAAAACGGAACCTGGGAACCCCGCCGCCCACCGAAATCGGCCCGGGACCCCGAGCCAAGAACCCAAGAACCCGGAACCAGGAACCCGGCCGCCCACCGAAATCGGCCGGAACTTTCGCCAAATCCTTCAATATCCGCTCGGACCCCTTCAGTGCAAGCGCTGATTGCGGAATAAGGAAAAGAAATGGGGGAGGAGGAAGATGATGATGATGATGATGATGATGATGATGATGATGATGATGATGATGATGATGAGGAGGAGGAGGAGGAGGAGGAGGAGGAGGAGGAGGAGGAGGAGGAGGAGAAGGAGGCAGGAGGAGGAGGGAGGAGGAGGAGGAGGAGGAGGAGGAGGAGGAGGAGGAAGAGGAGGAGGAGGAGGAGGAGGAGGAGAGGAGAGGAGGAGGAGGAGGAGGAGGAGGAGGAGGAGGAGGAGGAGGAGGGAGGAGGAGGGAGGAGGAGGAGGAGTAAACATCCCCTGAGGAGTCCTGGTCGCCTAAGCTTCGCGCAGACGCTGGACGGCGAGAGCACGGAAGCGTGCAGCGGCAGGCGCAGTGATGTGAACGTGAGGGGAGGTGCCGATCTCCCCCTTCAGGGCATGATATATGTAGAAGGCTATGGCAAGAGAGCGCACAACAGATCCGAGCGAGTGCCGACCCACGTGCGCCGCCTCCCCGCCCAAGCCCAGTCGAACTAACACCTCGTCACTCGATGGTCGCTGAGGGTCGGCCACAAACTCTAGGAACTTATCACAAACGAGATCGTGCTGAATACAATATATTCCGTCAGAACATCCCATGAGGCAAGCTTTCGAGCCCTGAACAACGTGCATCCGATTGCTTGTGGTCCAGGCGCCACACAGCGCTTTACTTGCACACCAGCGAATCGACGCCTTGCAGCGAGCGAGATAGGAGCGGAGAAAAAGCCAGCGGGCCTCGAGATCGTGAGGAAGAGGAAGGAGAGGAAACCACTTGCTCAGGGGCCTACGGATGGTGTCAGAGAAGCGGTCAGGATACAGAGAACGTGTGAGATGGTCGTTGACAGCGCGCTGCACCTTCGGTTTGCGTCCCTCCACCAATGCGAGAACCCTAGACACCTCAGCCCTCCACGCTCAAATGGCAGCGCGCTGGATCTCTGGCGAAATCTCGCACGAACTAGAACATTAGATGGGTTGGCACATGCACGCATTCGAGAACCTCTGAACGATCGATGTCTGCTCAGCCCACCACGCCGGAGACCGCTGACCATTGCAGAAGCGAAGGACGGGGGCGGCATCCGCGGCGGCCTGCTGTAACCGCTCGAAAGAGCTCCGCCACCCCGTCAGCGTGGTGGTACAAGTACGTCATAGAGAGGCGAGGCAAAGGGCAACGATCGAGCCTTGGCCGCCTCCACGACACCAGAGCTTGATCGAGAGAATGTCTGCCCTCTTCACAGAGCTGGGCGGGAGACGGAGGGAGGAGGAGGAGAAACATTTTCCAACGGTACCACTCGCAAACTCTATCGGAACCAAGTCGGAAGGTGGATGGACGGCAACTTGACAACTTGACCTACTCAAGAGGCGCAAGCTGTCTTGGCCGCGTGGGCGGGTAGGGGAACTCTCACCCAGCTGGGATGCTAAGGAGCCGACAGTAGAATGGTGGAGTCTGTTGCTGCAATACTGGCTTTCTTATGTAGCACCTACTTGTGTCTTGTCGACCCCGTGCTGGGGGTCCTCATGGGGCCTCACTCAGTCCCTGACTGGTGAGGCTGTTAGGTCCGTGCCAAAAGGAGGAGGAAGAATAAGGAGGAGGAGGAACAAGAGGATGGAGAAGAAGACTGAGAGGAAGGAGGCATGTATCTAAGAGAAGGAGCATGAGGGGAGAGGAGGGATGAGAACGACGAAGGACATGTGAATGATGATGGTGATGATGATGCTGATGGTGATGATGATGATGATGATGATGGTGATGATGATGATGATGGTGATGCTGATGCTGCTCATGATGATGCTGATACTGGTGATACTGATGCTGAAGAGAATGATGATGCTGACGATGATGACGATGATGCTGATAATGATGATGATGATACTGATGACGCTGCTGCTGATGATGATGATGATGATGAGGAGGATTAGGTTGATGACGATTGTGATGATGATGTTGAGGATGATACTTCTGATGATAATGATGTTGATGATGATGCTGATACTGATAACGATGACGACGATGATGATCATGATGCTGCTGATGATGATGGTGGTGGTGGTAATGATGATGTCGATGATGTTGATGATGATGATGCTGATGAAGCTGATGATGATGATGATGATGATGAGAATGCTGGCACTGCTGGTGATGATGATGCTGATGATGATGATGATGCTGATGAAGCTGATGATGATGTTGATGATTTTAATGACGATGATGATGCTGATTATGATTATGATGATGAGGATGATGATGATGATGTTGATGCTGATGATGCTGATGATGATGATGATGATGATGATGCAACTGATGCTGATGATGAGGAGGAATGGGAAGCAAGAGGAGCGAGGATATTCAGAAGAGGGCGGAAGATGAGGAAGTGGGAATCGAAATGAGGGGGCAGGAGGAGGAGGAGGAGGGGGAAGGCCGTGACCATTGCAGCTCAAGCCATTATTGCCTCAGGGTGGCAAGCCACGTTCCGGATTAGTCGCCGAATAGGGCCTCACCGATAACGGCCTCACGGACGCGGTGAGTGCAGCCAAATCCAATGGCCTCATCTCTGGCAGGAAATCCACAACAGCAGAGCGGATAGAGATCTGCTGCAATGCGCTGCGCCACCTCACGCACCACAATACGAATCGACGCCCGATCACGTGCGACATTTCTTCTGAGGCCCCGGAGTGCGATGAACATGAGGCCGAGACCCGCTCCACCAGCGTCACCCCGCCCAGGATCACCGTCTCCGCTCCACTAAACACTGCGGTCTGCGATGCACATGCAAGAACATCGTCTTCAGCAGAACAAGATTCATCGGCACACGCATTGCACTCCTGGAGCTCCGCGCGGAGCTCCGAAGGTTTACCCATCGGTCGGAAGAAGTATGTAGAAACATGAAGTAGGAAGGCGTTGGAAATACATTGGGTTTCCTCCCGCCTCCTGAAGAGAAAGGAAGAGGGATTATGCTAACGGAGTTCCCCACATAATGATGTTTTTGGGCTAGCGGGATCAAGCAACATTTTGTAGAGAAATTGCCGACCTGCCCTCGCCCTCTCCATCCTTTTCTATCACATGGTTTGCGAATACCCTCCTCGCTCATGCGGGGCTTCCCTGGAGGGGTGGGACGGGCACGGAACCTGATAAATAGCAGTGTTCGCGAATACCCTCCTCGCTCAGGCGGGGCCTCCCTGGAGGGGTGAGGGCACGAAACCTGAGAAATAACAGGTGATTGCGAATACCCTCCTCGCTCAGGCGGGGCCTCCCTGGAGGGGTGGGAGGGCACGAAACATGAAATAAAACAGTGATTCGATACACTCCCGCTACAGGCGGGGCCTCCCTGGAGGGGTGGCGGGGACACGAAACCTGATAATAACAGGTGATGCGGAATACCCTCCCTCGATCAGGCGGGGCCTCCATGGAGGGTTGGGAGGGCACGAAACTGAGAAAATAACAGGTGATTCGAATACCCTCCCGCTCAGGCGGGGCCTCCCTGAGGGGTCGAATAATACGAAACTGCGAAATAACAGGAAGGTCGAATACCCACCTCGCTCAGACGGGGCCTCCCTGGAGGGTGGGAGGGGCAGGAAATCTGATAAATAACACTGTGTTCGAATAGCGTCCTCGCTCAGGCGGGGCCTCCCTGGAGGGGTGGGAGGGGCACGAAACCTGAGAAATCACAGGTGATGCGAATACCCTCCTCGCTCAGGCGGGGCCTCCCTGGAGGGGTGGGAGGGGCACGAAACCTGATAAATAACAGGTGATTCGAATACCCTCCTCGCTCAGGCGGGGCCTCCCTGGAGGGGTGGGAGGGGCACGGAACCTGATAAATAACAGGTGATGCGAATACCCTCCTCGCTCAGGCGGGGCCTCCCTGGAGGGGTGGGAGGGGCACGAAACCTGAGAAATAACAGGTGATGCGAATACCCTCCTCGCTCAGGCGGGGCCTCCCTGGAGGGGTGGGAGGGCCACGAAACCTGGAGAACAGCAACCTGGTATTGGTTGCTGTTCTGTTCTGTTATTCCTCCTCACCACAACTCCTTCACTTTTATTCCCTCGCTCCCTCTCCTTTTATGCTCCAGTCTGTCAATTCACTCCTAACTGTTTCTCCTCATGTTCCGCTCAACTCTGACTTTTCTTTTCTCCCTTCCTATTTCCCCTTTTCCCTTCCAGGCTGACCTTATTTTGATCCCTGGCTATTCTCCGGCGCTTCTATCCTTTCCCGCTATTCTCTCCTGTCCCTGCCCGCTTCTCTTCCCGCTTCTCTTCCTCCGTGACCGCCCACATTCCCTGTTTACTTACTACTATCTGCTAACTCCTTTTTACTCCGTAATTCTTGTGCTGCTTTTGGCCTTTCTTTGTGTCTCGTTCCCCACCTGTTTCTTTTCGTACTCCTCCTGTTTGAGAATATAACATGTGATGCGAATACCCTCCTCGCTCAGGCGGGGCCTCCCTGGAGGGGTGGGAGGGGCACGAAACCTGATAAATAACACTGTGTTCGAATAGCGTCCTCGCTCAGGCGGGGCCTCCCTGGAGGGGTGGAGGGGCACGAAACCTGATAAATAACAGGTGATGCGAATACCCTCCTCGCTCAGGCGGGGCCTCCCTGGAGGGGTTGGTATGGTATTGGTATTGGTATGGTATGGCTTGGTATGGCTTGGGATGTTATTGGTTTGGTTGCTGTTCTGTTCTGTTCGTGGTTTGGTATGGTATTGGTATGGTATGGTATTGGTATGATATGGCTTGGTATGGCTTGGGATGTTATTGGTTTGGTATGGTATGATTGGTATGGTATTGGTATGGTATGGTATGGTATTGATATGGTATGGCTTGGTATGGCTTGGTATGGTATTGGTATGGTAAGGTATTGGTATGGTATGGCTTGGTATGGTATGGTTTAGGAGAAGGACGCGGGAGGAGGAGGAGAAGGAGAGGGTGTTCTGGGAAAACAAGAACCCCACTCAGGATGTGGGGAAAAACCACTCGACTCTTGAAGTAGGAAGGCGCTGAAAGTAGATTGGGATCTGGGAATCCAGAAATACCTACTTTCAACGACCGATGGGTAGGCCTGTGCCTTTTTGACCCCTGGCCTCTGGGCCTCGCCAGGCGCCGCTCTGGAAGGCCCAGGGGCCTCCTTGGGAAAACCTGGGGTTAAGTCGGGCGTGTCCCCCTACAGGGGGATTTTGGGCGAAAAATGGAACATACTCAAAACATACGGCAACATTGTCAAAACATAATCAAAAAATAGTTCCCCGACTATTTTTTGATTTTTGCTCATGCATTTCTGAAATATATTTCTAATTTCTCGTCGAAGATCCCCCTGTCGGGGGGACAGGCCCGACTTGAACCTGGGGCCACCTCTGGCCGGAGCCGCCTCCCCAGGCCCCCGACGTCGTGATTTTCTCATGACGTCGACCCCCCGAGGTACGGACCCTTTCCCCGGGACCGGTTTTTCATCCTGAGTCGTTTTTTGACGCTCCCGCGGCCCGGCGAGGACCTCCGGAGGGCAAAAATAGCGAAAAACCTTCCGTCGTGTTTTTTTTCACGACGCGAGGGGGTCTGGGTCCGTGGCAGCCCCCGGGAGAGGGGGGGCGGGCGGGCCCGCCTGCTTGCCCAGCCGCACGCCCCGCGAGCCCGCGGCAGCCCTGGGACTCCTGCCGGGCGGCGTGGCGGCGGGCAGCCGGCCCCACACGCTGCCCCCCGCACGGCGCCGGCCGACGAGTCGTCGGCCGGCGCCGTGCTCCGAGGAGGAGTTCGCGCGCTCGAGAAGTCGACGCGCTTCTCCCCTAAACCGACCCTGAGGCCGAGAAGTCGACCCTATAGGCCGAGAAGTCGACGCCGAGGAGTCGAGGCGTCGTCGAGGCTCAGGGGAGAGATTTTCGGGGACGGCGAAGAGGGGGGGGTCCAAGACGGGGGGGGGGTGCAAATCATGACCGGCGGCATGTGGGCGGCCCCGCGGGGGGGCCAGGGACGTAATGAGACAAGAAGGGGCGCCATGAAATCTGGGGAAACACCATGGCCCCCGCCATGATATCCACCCCCCCCTAGTCATCACCCCTCTCTTTTCCGCCCCCGACAGACCCAGACATGCGACGTCCTGATTTTTTCAGGACGGCGGCCCCGAAATCCCGAGCCTTTCCCCGGGACCGGCTTTTCGTCCCGAGTCGTTTTTTGACGGTCCCGAGGCCCAGCGAGGGCCCCCCAGTGCCAAAATAGCAAAACACCGCCCGTCCTGATTTTTTTACGACGCGATCATGTCTGGGGAGGGAAATTCGGACCACCGCCGCCGAGCACCCATCCCAGACCCCCGACGTCGCGATTTTTTCATGACGTCGACCCCCAGAGGTCTGGACCCTTTCCCCGGGACCGGTTTTTCATCCCGAGTCGTTTTTTGACGCTCCCGCGGCCCGGTGAGGACCTCCGGAGGGCAAAAATAGCGAAAAACCTTCCGTCGTGTTTTTTTTCACGACGCGAGGGGGTCTGGGATCGGGGCGGGGCTGACCCCCTGGGCGGTGCCACGCCCTGGCGTCCCCTCGTCCTGGGCGGCCCTCTGCCGTGCCGCCGCCCGGGGGCTCGGCTCCCTGCCGATGGTCGCTGCTTCGGCGGCGGTGGCCCGGAGGAGGCGGAGGAGGCGGAGGACAGGGGAGGGACCTAGACCCCCTTGAGTAATTAAAAAATCACGACGGGAGGTTTTTCCTAATTTTCGGCCTCTGGGGGCCCTCAGCGGGCCTCGGGAGCGTCAAAAAACGACTCAGGATGCAAAGCCGGTCATGGGGAAAGGGTCGGGACCTCTGGAGGGCGACGTAATGAAAAAATCATTACGTCGGGGGTCTGGCGAGGGAGGAGGAAGGGAGGAGGGGGAGGAGGAACGGAGGAGCAGGAGGAGGAGGAGGAGGAGGAGGAGGAGGAGGGCCCACACCTTCACCGTGCCGGGAAGCTCGAGACGGAGTTGTGCCCTCACTTGCGACGTCTGGGGGTCCTCGCTGGACATCGGGACCACCGGTCCTTGGGCCGCGGGAAGTGGTCCAGAGCTCCGTGGACCCCGCGTCGAAAAAATCAAGACATCGGAGGTCTGAGGTTAGGAGGATGAGGTGGGGGGAGGATGGGGCAGGATGAGGAGGGGCCGGAGGAGGATGGGGGGGAGGGGCCTGACAAAAAGGGGAGTGGGGGTGGAGGCGAGCGGCAGGAGGCGGATGATTGGGGACGAGCAGTCTGAGAGGAGGAAGGGATGGGGCGGGAGAGGAGCTGGATCCCAATCAAGAGGCCGACCGCGGCGGAGACGGAATACGGGAGCAGAGAGGCAGACAGATGCATACACGATGCTGTAGTATTTCTTGACGTCCAAAGTGCCTTCCTTCTGCGGTCAGGAACACTTGCTTCGCGTGTCGCGGCGGCGGCCCCTGCGGAACGCCATGTCCTGCGAGCTGATAGCCTGTCGCTCCGGGGCCAGGGGCGCAGGGCAGGGCTGGGACCCAGGCTGGGGCAAGGGCTGGCGGGGCCGGGGCAAGCGGGGCAGCGGGCCGGGGCCGTGGCCAAGGCCAGGCCCGTGGGCAGGGCCGAGACTGGGGCCGGGGCCGCGACCGGGGCCGGGACCGGAGCTGGGGCCAAGGCCAGGGCCAAGGCCGGAGCCGCGGTCAAGGCCTGGAGCTCCCGAACTTGACGACCCACCAACGAGACAGCCCGCCAGGGAAGGAGCCCGCCATCAAGCTCGATAGACGGACACAACCCAAACATTCCACTCAACACATTGCCTAAGGCGACTGCTAACACCCTCCTCCCCTTCCTCCTCCTCCTCCTCCTCCTCCTCCTCCTCCTCCTCCTCGGATCCTCGTCCTCCTCCTCCTCCTCCTCCTCCTCCTCTTCCTCATCCTCCCTGCAGCCTCCTCGACGTAAAACTCACACATTATTGAACAAGACGAATTCGCACGGGGCGTCCCGGAGCGTCCCGGATCGGTGGCACAGGCTGGAGGCCTCCACAACTTGTTTCGCGTGTCGCGGCAGCGGCCCCAGCGACACGCCGTGCCCTGCGAGCTGATCGCCTGTCGCTCCGCTTCGTGGGGCGCAGGCTTGGCTGGGGACGTTGACGCTTGGAAATTCAGATGTGGTTCGCGTGTCGCGCCAAAGCGTAGTGGACCTGATTTAGTGGCGCGACACTCTAAACAAACGCTCCTGACCGCAAATCCCTACAAACGTTCCTTTCTCACTGCGGGGCACACCCTATTGCAAAGACAATCGCAACGATGCCTCCTGCCGTTCAAGCGAACGCTCGTTTTGACAAAGCTCCGCAACCCCCGCGCTTAGAAGAGGCAAGTGAAGTGTCCAGTGATAGCTGCGTGTCGGACTGCTGCGCAAGTCCCACCAGCGCTCTGGCTGGGCGTAGGTGGTTCAGTTGGCGGCGCGCAGAGGGGGGTAGGGAAAGGTAGTAAATCTTCTTAGAAAGACGTCGCCTCTTAGAAGGCGCCGGCCTACATCTACAGACAAGGCTCGCGCCTTCTAAGAAGCAGGGGTG